CCCACAAAAAACTAAATTGTCAGACACTGACTTTTGTAAGTTTTACTGTAATGAATAATGTTGAACTGATTCAAGCACACATTTAAATTTCTTATATTGCTTATTTATTAGTGATAATTACTATTGCTATATCAAACTTAGGAATATTATGTCTGGCTAATTATATCAGAAAAAGGGAATTTTATAAACATGGCTACATCTTGTGCTTTGAAACTACCTACCCCTCCACGTCTTAAAAAAGATGTTCAGTTTGAATATATTTGCTGCTCATTTTGAAGGATGGGATGGGGTCGGGTAAGAAACTAACTATTCTCTAGGGGCAAAAATATGCCCCTCTTCTCGGAGTATAAAGACTGAGGGATTTTTCTTTTTTTTAACTCCCTTTATGGGCCATTTAAAATAGTATCAGTTATTCAAGGTCCAGCTGCAAGACTGGACTACATAGTCTCTAAATTGAGGCCTTAATCTGAGATCCTAAATAATTGAGAGGAAGTCTGGGCTCAGGAGATCTGCACTTACATATACCACGATGCCGAGAAAGCCACATTTTTCTCATGTGTGGCAGGAAATAGCAGTTTCTACCTCAAAGGCTTTGTAAAATCTAAGAGAGATAATACAATGTAAAATAGATAGAACAACACCTAGCATATTATAACTATTCAAGGTGATTATTAAATATTTATTACATATTAAATAGATTATTATCATCACTACTAAACAAAGGATGAGGAGGAACATGGAACGGAATATACGTGCACTAGGAGATAGGAATAATCATACATGAGAAATAGACATTAAGTGTATTAAGACCATAATATGTGTGGTGGGAAATAGAGAGCGATAAAGCTGGGGAGATACACAGGGACCAGGTGCTGTAGGGGCTTCTGGGCTATATAAAGGCACTGGGAATTGATCTCAGGGCTGCCAGGGAATGACTGAGGGATGTCAGGCAGGTCCCAAACTACGATTTAGATAGACCTTGGCTGAAGCGTGAAGAATGGAGTGCAGGAAGGCAAGACCAGGAGTAGGAAGATTGTTTTAATATAATGAACATCTTCAGGATTTTAAAAGAGCTAGTATGTGGAGTGACGGTATACGAAAGCGATAGTGACAGTATATGATGACAGTGATACTACACGGAGGTGATAGTGATAGTAAGCAGTACGTGAGGGTGCATAGAGAAAGAAGGAGAAGGAAGAAGGGGGTGAAGATGAAGCCCAGGTTTCTGGTTTGGTCTTCTGGGTAGAAGTCACTGCCCGAGTTCCTGTATCATCTTCTTAGGTTTTCTTCTTGACCCTTGAGTTCCTTCCCCACCTGGCTTCTAATCATGAATTATTCAGAATATATATTTTGAGTACCTGCAATATGCCAGCACTGCAAGTGTTAGAAAAACAGAGATTCTCTGAGTCCCGTTCTCTGAATTATATAGAGAACCACAGAGTCTCAGGGCAGGGACCATTGAAAGAGCATGTAATCCAATCTTGCAGCTGAAATTCCAATCTCCCATATGATAATCTCCCTTGATAGATCTAAATCGGGAGACTCATGAGAAACACTCTTTCCAGGTGGTCAATTCTTTCGTCTCATATCTGTGATTGCCAGCAATTCTTACTTGGACTTAGCTCAAATTTATTGGTAATGACCTCTGCTTTCGGGCCCAAGATTTTATCATGAAGATCTTATCATCAATAGCTCCCTTTTTTGGCAGCATTTAGATCTCTGTTGTCCACACTCTACACACTCCTAATTATTTTTAACACTCCCTGAAGAAACGGTTTGGTATCCTCTTGCTATGCTGGTCATGTTCCTCTGAATATATGCTGGCCTCTGAATATACATCTGCTTCAAGCGTATTTCCCAGCAATTAACACAATACCCAGCTATGTTTTGAGCAGTACATAGAATTTGGGCCTTATTAACTGCTTTTATGGATACTGAAAATAATTAACTTCTTTGTCAGACATTGCTAATTTGCTCTTTTTGCAAAAACGTTTTTCTTGGGAGCTGCAGTTAAATTATATATTTTTATTTAAATCATTTATAAAATTGCTGAGACTGCCACCTTCTATTTCACTTCATCATCATCAATTCATTTTTTCAGCCCCTTTGCTTACAATGGCCCCATCAGTTATAAATCCATTTTGTTGAGTCTCATTCCCATGTTATAATTAGAAGTGTCATTTAGAAAGTAAATGAAATGCCTTGCTAACCTCAATATATGATATTTCTATATTTTCTCTCATCTACATGTCTATACAATGTTTGAAAAGTTTAAGCGCACAGCTTAGTCTTAAGGGACTCCATATAATCTTGGTCACCAATAATCCCCTTTCTTATTGCTTAAAAATAATCTAATAAATGTTTTACATTTAGTTGGAAAATTAACAGGGAGGTGACCAATCTTTAGCTAAGAGAACACCTTTTAAATAAGAACCTCAGATGGCGTTAGGCTTGTGGCAATGTTTTTCATTCTGTTGAATACAAGTGACTTAGAGAAGAGATTATGGCCCCTGAAATATTCAAGTGCAAAATAATCATCTTCATATCTGTCTCTCTAAAATCAATCAAGACAAACAATGTGAATTTATTTATGAAAGGAGGTCATTCTTCTAGTATATATAACTATCCTGAATTTTAATTTCCTATTATTAATTCTTATTTTACTTTTTCTATTTTCCAGGGACAGAAATTTGAAGACAATATAGGGCTTCTGTTCTACTGACACTGTAATTGATTTACATTTCTCTCTAGGCTCAGAACAGCAGTCCTAGTCCTTCCATATTATTTACCTTCCTCTAAATAGGTCAAATATGTATTTATATGTGTGTGTGTATACATATATACGTGAAGTTCTGACAATTAAGTTTGCGAACTTGTTCCAACAATGTTGCTAAACTTTTTTGATATCAGAGGGGTTATTCATTATGGATTTGTACCAATTGGACAAACAATTAACCAAGTTTACTATTTAGAAGTGCTGAAAAGGCTGCATGAAAAAGTTAGACGACCTGAACTTTCCTCAGCAATTCACGACTCTTGTATCACAACAATGCACCAGCTCACATGGCACTGTCTGTGAGGGAGTTTTTAGCCAGTAAACAAATAACTGTGTTGGAACACCCTCCCTATTCACATGATCTGGCCCCCAATGACTTCTTTCTTTACCCAAAGATAAAGGAAATATTGAAAGGAAGACATTTGGATGACATTCAGGATATCAATGGTAATATGATGACAGCTCTGATGGCCATTCCAGAAAAAGAGTTCCAAAATTGCTTTGAAGGGTGGGCTAGGTGCTGGTATGGGTGCATAGCTTCCCAAGGGGAGTATTTGAAGCTGATCATAGTGATATTCAGCAATGAGGTATGTAGCACTTTTTCTAGGATGAGTTCACAAACTTAATTGTTGGACCTCATATATAAAGAACACTTTGGTTTTCCTTAGCTTTATTTTTTCTAACAAATTTCAATGCATCTTGGCCTTTAGTCTTTAGGTATTATTATTTTTTCAAGGGATTTTTCAGGGATTTCTCATAATTGTCCATGGTTGGAGCGAGGCATGGCTACTCATGATCAGATGGCAAGGCATCGATAGGTCTAGCTCAATACAGGCAGAGAAGATGCACTTCTGGAGTTAACAAGTAGGAAATTGGGACATATTTTTTTAGAGAGATATTGAGAACATTGAGTTTAGGATCTGAAATATTCTACACTAGTAGATCCTTTTGAGTTGGTTGCCCAGAAGCGTTCCCCTCCAGGTATATCTGTAACTAAGTGAACCCTTGGCTATAACTAATTGACCCAAACACTGATATCTTTTTCATATTAAGCCAACCAGATGCTTTCGCCTAGGAATTTACAAATGTGAAGTAGAAACTATGACTTATTGACAACACTCTAGAGAAATATTTGATAACCTATTATTGTCGAAAATTTGCAGTTGTCCTGGCTTGTTGTTCTGCAATGTCTGAGCTCCCTAACATCTGACCAGTGAATTCCTTTTTTTTTCCTTATCCAGCCAAATTGAGTTCCTACAGCATGCTTACAAAACAGATATTTGTGGGAAAAGCAAAGACAATTACCTTCCACATATATCACATTATTTAGATGGGGAAATGCATTCAAAACTTCTAACACATGTCTTACAAATTAAACTCTGGAATACAACCCCTTTTTAAATTTAACTTGGCACAAAAGCACTTGATAAATATTTATGATATAAAAGTTGTGGAATTTCTGTGCTACCTTTAATTATGAATATTTTCAGCGACATTTATTTTGCTTAGAGATAGGCAAACTCTGAACCTTCCAAACACCGAAGATTAGAAGCACAGAGTCTCAAAACACATTAAAGATTATGCACTGAAGGAGGCCCTTAGGACCTCCATGGAACTAAATTAACTAAATCTACAGAGCTTCACTTTTATGTCTTTGAAGTTCTAACATAAAGATTCATTGCTAATGATTAACTGTGACTGCCGTGCTCTAAGGATAAAATGGCTTCTCTGGGGGACGCTGCTGATAGCAGGGTTGGAATGTTAATTTCATTTTAATGATATTGAAAAATTGATTTCAAACATAAAATCCATTTTCATTTAGCAGTGCTATCTATTCAGGAGAACATAGCAAATGTAACATCTGATAATACGTTGCCTACATTATAATTAAAGATCGAAAATGATAAATTAGTCAATATATTAATATTCATATGGTATCTTTCAACTTGTCTCAAGATACACAAGATTTCAGCATGGATATATGTTTTAATAAAAAAATTACACAGTGTTAAAAATGCAGGAGGAAAGCATCAGCAGATAGAAAATTGAGATACAATTTCAGAATTTATATTTGTAGAGATAAGTATCCATTCACTGGGTATTTGTCAGCTTTAATCTGTTCACTGCCTATCATGCACTGTGGTGAGAGATAGACAACTTGAACTTTAATGCCATTAGTCTCTGTAAAAATTAGTTCCTTGGAATAAAGTTGAGTCTAGAAATGAAAGTCTTTTAGGTCAATGCATGTTAAGACAGTCCAGTCTAACAAATCTTCAGGTTGAAAGTAAAAAGTAGAAAAAGTAGTAAAATGAAACACACAAAAAAAATTTGAATAGAAACACACTTATCACATTTCTTAACCCCAAAGACAAAGAGAAAAATCTTAAACTTTCAGAGAAAGAGAGAGGAAAACTAAACCCTACATGTTATCTACAAAAGAATGATGGTCAATTGACATTAGACATAACTGGAAACAAAAAGAGTGGTACCTTCAAAGTTTTGAGGGAAAGTTATTTTAAATCAATAGTTTTACCCTTTTGGCAATTATAAATTAATTTTAGGTGTAAAATGTGTTTTTCAGAGCTCTAAGGATTTAGTGAGTTTGCCACACACCCTATCATCACATTTCCAGAGAGGCGATATGGGAAATTGGCCGTTAAATATATTCCAGGAAAAAAAAAACCAGGTAAGAAATCTGGTAAGACTGAATACAAATATATTAAACACTGATAGTTCAAATCTTCTTTGTTAGGCAAAGATGCTAATGACATAGAATTAGTTTCATTCCTTGTGAGTTCACAGTCCTTAATTCCATAGTAACATATTTACAGAATCATAATATTGTAGATGCTATTTTTAAGGACAGTTGAGGCTTATACTTGTGCATCTTAGAAGCCTGTGACTAGCCATCTTTTTTCATGTCAGTTAAGTTTATCTAATTTGCAGGTTCAGTTTTAGGAAACCCCTTTTTTGGCCATATACCTAAGTCATTTTCTAATAGCTCTTTCAGTAATAAAACTGACATCTCTATATATAATAAATAAATAAATAAATAAATAAAATATATAAAATATATATATACATTTATAATAATATATTTTATATATAAATATATATATAATAAAACTGTTATCTCTAATTGTCTGACTCCTTTGTCTAATTTGTAATATATTTCCTAATAAAATTAGGCAAACAGCTTAGTTTCTATTTACCAAATCCTAAAATATCCATATCTATATTCTAAGTGAAATGCAGAGATTCAGGTAGTTAAAGAATGTTCACGAGTTGAGGTTTGTGGTGGGCCAGGCCATATAAGTTTTTGATCTTGCAGGAGCTTCTATTGTGTCATATAGTTACTTTTTTGTAGTCATGGTTGACTTTAAGTGGCCATCCTGAACATGTAGGTTTAGGTTTTAGCCTAACACACTGGCCAGTGAACTAAGAAAGGGAAGTAACTTTTTGATGATCAGGATAATGGTATAAAAGGTAAGAGGTGGAGTTCTTAGGTCTAGTTGCGCATAGTGAGTCTCAAAAATGAAAGACATGTTTAGTTTGTGTTAAATCAGAAAAGGTGCTTGAAGTCCAATGAAATCAAATAAAGGATGATGGACAAGATCTCAGAAAGCAATGATATTCCAGAGTAGGTCCACATTGAGAAAACTACAGAAAATTATATTTTTTATATGTAGATACATATTAAGGACAATAAGTGACTCAGTCCTTAAAGATTAGGAGAGCTATACTGTGAGGCTACAGAAAAACTGGTCAAATTTAATGGAGAAGACCAGAAAAATGAATGTAAAGTACTCAAAAAATTACTAGATGAGTTTCAGCTTGACACAATTATTGTAGGTATTATATGTACTCCATATAAACTTGCTGGAACAAAAAATAGGGAATTGAAGCTTTAAAGGAAAGCAGAGATAAGGCATAGTAAAATGAACCAGGCGGACCAATGTAGATCAACTTTAGAACTAGGTTAGATGTTGTTCTCATGGGATAAGAGCACCTGCATGGTAATATCCAACTCATGAAGGTAAAGGTTGATAAGAATATTTTGAACAGATCCAGCATTGTTGATTTCCTATTTCTCATCACAAGACAATAGCTAGAAATATAAGAAAAACAAATGACTTCACCAGAAAGCAAAGTAGAATAAAGCAGGAACACAGATCTAGTACGCTGTTCTAACCTATGTGTGTTCACTTTGCTGGATGATAAATGTACCTCAAATTAGACCTTTTTTTAGGATTGGCAACATTACAGGTTTTTGAACTTTGTAAGAATTTGGAATATCTCAAATGCTGCTCTCTGAAAGTACCTACCCCATATGGTTTTTTAAAAAGTGTCATAACTAGCGTCTTAAGAGAAATTACTTCCAATTAAATTTAAATTTAAATTCACAGATTGTTAATTACAAATACCTGATATTCTAGGAAAGTTGAAAACAAGATTTTTCTCCACTCTGCCAATTCCCAGAGACCAACGAATCTTTGGTATTAACTTTGGGACAGTGAACATAGATCTAAGAAAGAGTACTTTGTCCTGGAAACATATTTTTTTGGCTAAAGGTTAGAATAGTAAAACAACTAGTAGAAAACCACAGACATTGCAACTATGCACATAGAACCTACAGTGTTCAACTTTTTTGAAGAAGTTGCTCAACTTTTTGTTTTATATATCTTTTCAAGAAAATGTACTTAAATTTTTTTCCATCTTGGAAGGAGACTAATAAATGTGAAATTTTAACACAGAAAACAGTATTCCTTGAAGCACGCTTAAAAAGGATAGGGTGTCTTTTGGAAAAAAGAAAAATGGACTTGTTTAAATAAAATTTAAATACTTTAGAAAATTTAAGAATAAATGGCCAATGTTTAATAATAATTAACAATGAAATTTTTGATATAAATAATTTGAAACTATGTAATATAAAAATAATTTATCTTGACTATCTTATAAAACTCATTACATGAAGACACTTCACACTTTGGTAACTCAGAAACCATGATATGGTGTCAAAATTTTTGAATGTGTTAACACTTATTCATATAAGTCTCACAAATACTAGTTACATATTTATGCTCATAGGGTTCTTGCTATGGAATAGAAAACAATAAGAGAAATACTTTTCCATTAATTAATTCCATCAGATACATTTTAACCCAAATATTATTATTTTATAGGAAATAATTATACTAACAAATGTTAGCTTTTATTATACTAAAGAATGTTCTTAACAGTCTTCTTATATTGAAATCAAGCATTCTGTTTCATACATTTTAAAATCCTATTTTGCCAAAACATATTGCAAAATAAAAGTCAAGCGTAGTAAGATCTTCAAACTCAGTCCAGAACTAAAATCAGTTTCTGACCGGGATATTACTTAGGATTTGATAAATAATTCCATAAAATTAGTATCAAATCAGTTCAACAGTATGTAAAGTTAACAACAGCCAAACTTTAATTCCAAATATTTTATTTTAAAAATCACTGTATAATTGGAATGTTTAACTTTAGTAGCTGTTAAAAAGGACATTGAACTTGGTCTATAAATAGCCAATGAACTGTCATGAAATTCCTCAGTATGAGCCATGCAATGTAAAAGCTGGACAGACTGCCATTATATGTAAATATTTCACTGTGGGAAAAATGAAAATTAACTTTTAAGAGAATAAACCAAGTCCGTTAATTAGCCAGGCTGAGTTTTGGCTGTGCTTATTCCTTCAGATTTGAATTAATTTTAAGTGAATAAAACTAAAAATCCTTTAGAATTGAAATACAATTTTAAAGGGTCTATCAAAGGAGAACACTTTTTAGAATTTTTTTCTCATTAAATAACCATAAAATTGAATATAACATTTCTTGATCAGAATAAATAAAATTAAGAGATTTCATGCAGATTGTAAGAATATTTAAATATATATATTTGCGTGATAATAACTAAAGAAAAATATTTACTAGTATGGAATGTGATCATTTAACAGTATTTAAAAAATAATGCTCTCCATTGCCACCCCAATAAATTTAATTAAAAAGAAAATAATGCTCTCAAGATCACTTCTTTTTTTCTGCACAGTATTTCTACTACTGAAGTTGGATGAATACCTAATTTTAGTAAGTAGCAAAATAAAACAATAAGGCTAGTGAGTTGTTCTGCAATTTGTATGTACATGTACATTTGTATGTTCCCTCTTATTAGTAAACATCTGCAAAGCAAGAGAGATGGCAAAATAGGAAGTGAATTGATTAGTCTAAAAGCTATAACTGTGAGAGCATGTTTTAAATAATGACGACCAACACCAATGAACATTTGAAAGTAAGGAAAATGAGTCACCGGACAATAGATTTTGCAATAAAAGGAAATTCTTTGGCTTTTAAAGAACATGTTCTAAAGGTGCTATTTTGTCACTGAAAATGTTAATATGTATTTAAAAGTATGTTATTTACGGGCACACTTGCTTTCTAACAGCTGCTGAGACTCACAATTTGCCAATTTTGCAAGTCATTTAAATGTTCCATGTTATATGTGAATTAAAAGATATGCTACCAGATTCCTGACAGACGCAGAACAATCTGCTGTGAATCTAAATTTAGTTTATATTCAATCAGTTAGAGAAATGTTCTTTTAAATACACCATTTTAAAAGGAGATACTTTAATTGTCATGAGAGAAAACACGAAGTTAGATGGTATGCTCTCTCATTTTATCACACCAATGCAATATTGAATTTAACATCAAATTGAATATTACATTATTTGTAAGGGCTACACTCAAATATTTTAAATGTTCTTGTGTTTTGAAATAAAATGTTTTGATCCCTTAGAGGAACTGTTTATTTCTACTATAGGCCATTTTTTCATACTCATTTAAAACTAGCCCATTGGAACAAGGCAACACAAGCACTGAACAATTTTAGGGCTTACCATAACAATATTGACCTCAGTCTGTTGTTTTTTTTCCCAACTACTCTCTTTTTAAATTCCCCACAAGCAACGATAAAGAGTAAATTTAATTTAGAAAAAGGAGGAAAAAAATCTGCAAACCTACTTTTTCTTCAGTCTTCTATCCTTCTCAGCTTGAGTTCCAAGTTTGCCTAACCCCAGGGACTCCTGAGCTGCAGCTTCCGTCTCCATAAAGCCTCCTGTGAAGAAGTAACTATCGCATTACATTGGATACATTGAATCAATCCTGAAATTAAATTCTTAAAAGTTTTTCTGAGCAACTGTGTTATATCTCATTTTTTTTCCTTTTTTTGAAATAAAGATATTTCCAACCCAACATACATGCATAAAATGACATGGGGGCATACATAAACATACACTGAGAGAATGAAAAAAAAAAGTACTTGTTATACTATTCAATGGCACCTAGCAACAACATAATACATAGTGCCTGTACACTGACAAACATATGAATACATAGTTTACAAGCCTCCTGGTCTCTTTTTCTACTTTTGTTATGAAAACTATGAGCAAATATATGTGTAGCATGTGTTTTTTCAACATTTAAAAAATTTGAAATATTTTACATATTATTTACAAATTACATATTGGGTTGTCAAAAAAGTCATGATGTATTTTGTCAATGTTTTTCAAAGGTCATTTATTTATATAAAGAACAAAGATCATCAAATGATATATTGCCCGTTTTGTTCCATAACCTTTTGCCATCTTTCAGTGAGCTTCATAATTCCTCATTCATAGAAGGACCTGTCTTTATTTGCGAAAAACTGAACAAGGTGCTGATTTACAGCCTCATCTGAATTGAACATTATACCACGCAAGGAGTTTTGAAGAGAGCAAAACAAGTGCAAGTCTGATGGCGCAAGGCCAGGCGAGTATGGTGGGTGTGGCGACACATCCCATCCAAGCTCCAATAATTTTTGACGGGTGATCAAATTTGTGTGTGGTCTCTCATTGTCGCGATGGAACACAACTCCTTTACAATTAACAAGCTCTGAACCTTTCTGGATGATGGATTCATTCAAACTGTCCAATTGCCGACAGTACACATTCGAATTGATTGTTTGGTTCCTTGGTAGGAGCTCGAAAAACATGACACCTTTAAAATCCCATCACACTGAGAGCATAACCTTCCTCTGATGAATGTCTGCTTTTAATGTTGTTTGAGGTGTATCATCACATCGGTACCAAGGCTGTTTGTGCACCACATTGTTGTAAACAATCCACTTCTCATCACCAGTTATCAGTCACTTCAAAAAGGAATATTTTCCTTATGTTTAATAAGCATATTGCAGATGTTTATATGCGCTGTCAAATGAACTTTTTCGAGTTCATGTGGAACCGAAGTATCGAGGTTGCTTACGTAACCCAGCTTCTTAATGTGGTCATGAACACTTGAATGATAGATGTTCAATGTTTCGTCAATCTCTCGTGTCATGTAACATGGGTTTGACTCGATCAATGCCTTAATTTTGTCGTCATCAACCTCGGTGGGCCTCCCTGACCCAGGAGCGTTGTTGAGATAAAAATCACCAGCACAGAATTTTGTGAACCATCGTTGGCACTGACGTTCTTGTAGAGCATTGTCACTGTAAACTTTATGCAACTTTTCACAAGCTTGATGCAAGTTCTTCCCTTTATGGAAGTAAAACAGTAAAATATGGCAAAAATGCACGGTTTGGTCTTCCATCTTCAACCTGTGAAATCTCCAAAACTCAACCAAATCGCTCAATTTTTTTTTTAGAATAAAGCTAGAACTGTCAGCTGTCAAATGAATAGCAATAACATAGATGTGAATGACTAGTATTTCCAAAAATGAACTAGTGCCATCTGTTGCAAACATGCATTATTACTTTTCTGACAACCCAATAATATTTACAAATACTTTACATATAATATTTTACATATAATGGATAAATAATAGCTCAACGAGTAGAAACTCAGGTGTATGTCTTCAATTCCTAGTCAAGAGAATAGAGAGGCATTCCCTGACTTCTAAACATTTTCATACCCTGCTTCTAGAACTCTCTTTTGCTCCCTGCCTGACTCCTATATCCAGTATAAATCTTACTTCCAGCATTTCCTATGTTCTGGCAGATTTGATTTTGTTTTCTAAAATTTGTAATAATACCTAGAAAAAATTCTAAGTCTTTCTACAAAAGGCACTGATAAGAGTTGTTTTACCCAGCAGATCACAATTTATTTGGGTTAGTGGCAATTTTATTGGCTTTGTGATATATGCAATAAATGTAACCTTGGAATGAAAGGAGAAAGAAAGAAAAGTGTTAGGCATCAAATACAGAATTACACATTTTACAGTGCATTATTTAACTCAGAATCCCCAAACATATAATTAATTCATACATTCTCTGTTATAATTGAAAAATGCGAACTTAATCCTGGCTCTCTTACGTCTTTGGTATTTATTCCATGTGAAAAACATGAAAAAAATGCTATTTTTAAATGGGTTAAGGTACATGTATATATTTCTTAAATGGAAAGGATTTATAGTGCTATTAAGTTCAAGATTAGGTGGAAAGATTTAAGCTAATGCTAACTCTTATGAAGACTACACAAAATTTTTCACCAACATATCCGTAAATAAGAACTATTAAAGACAATTTTTACTCTTTTATCATTGATGGATATTTCCTTATCATTTGTGGAACTTGATGAGAGACAAATTTTGTTGTTACTGTTTTTCATAATTTATTTTAGCAAATAATTTGTAATACTAGGTACTGTTAATTCTGGATCATGGATATAAGGAGTTAATGAGCCTAGTGACTCTATCACTAAACTGGATAATTATAAGGAAACTCTCTTTAATTGAAAATACATTGATTGCTCTCTAGAACTTATTCAGGGAATAAGAGTTTGGGGACTAAAATTTATTTTATTCAATTATGCACTTGTGCAATTAACCTTTAAATATTTTTCCTTTTATTATGAAAGATTTTCATTGTTGGTGTCGTTAGGAAAATCATCCATTAGCTGACTAAAGTACTCTAGGGGGTCATTTTTAAATGTGGGATTGTCCATCATGACCAGTGAATATTTTCATTTATTTCTCTCATCGGTATACTTGCCTTACTGTACGTCCATAAATTATTAATCACAATCTGCAATTAACAGTAAAATTGTTCTCTTGAAATGTAATTGGAAACGATTAATTCACTTAAAAGTTACAAAATTCTTCAGCAGCCCAGATGGGGACATAGGCCCATTCAAAACAGTGAGACATTCTCAACCACCAGGTGGTTGTATCAATTAGACCTTTTATTTTCTGAGCAAAGAACAGCAAATAGCTTATGATGTCAATTTTATCAAGAGCCCAACATTTTAATTATATAAAAAGAACATTTTTAAAAAGGAAAGCTCTGGAAGAGAAAAAAAGAAAGCTCTAAAAGAATTTTGTGAGTCAAAACTAGACCCAGAAAAAAACAAGACATTAGAATTTGCTTCTCATAAATATGAGTCATAAAAATAAAAAGCATGAGGATCTTAGAAATACTCTGAATTCTTCAAAATCTAATATGCTTTGAATAAAAGATGTCATAGAGAATTGTGGCCATATCCTGTTTGAAAATGCCAATAGAGAATAAAACTTAAGCCCATAGTAGGTAAAATTATTTTTAAGCATCACATGTAGGAACATATGCTTAGACAGGATCAAAAGTCTAATTATGTGTGGATTTTCAGCCCAATTAAGCTATTTCTAGATGAGAACATTCTTTCACAGAATTTGTCCAGCTGCCCCATAAATTCCAGGTTCACCTTTCAACATATCTGACCAGATAACTGATAAGGATGACTTCAGCAAAACCAGTTTATGAACTCTTTAATGACATGAATGATTATGTAAATCTGGTGAGGGTCTGCCTCATCTTGTGCAGACATCAGCAGGCTCCTATGGTTGTGTGGACTGTAGGAACATCTATTCATCTGTATCAATATTTTATTCACCAGTCATATGTGGCTACCGAGCACGTGAAATGTGACTAGTCCAAATTAAATACTGTAAGTATAAAATATGCACACGATTTTGAAAACTTAGTACAAAAATACAGAGGATGCCAAAAAAATGTATCCGCATTTTAGGAAAGGAAAACTGTATTAAAATTGTAATACTCAATATATACCGATAACAAAAGATGAATAAAAGTCATGTTTGACTTCTGCAATTACAAGAGGTGCTC